AGCTGGGTCTAGTGTACATGTCTTGTTGGTGCTGGGTCTAGTGTACATGTCTTGTAGGGGTCGGAGCTGGGTCTAGTGTACATGTCTTGTAGGGGTCGGAGCTGGGTCTAGTGTACATGTCTTGTTGGTGCTGGGTCTAGTGTACATGTCTTGTTGGTGCTGGGTCTAGTGTACATGTCTAGTAGGGGTCGGTGCTGGGTCTAGTGTACATGTCTTGTTGGTGCTGGGTCTAGTGTACATGTCTTGTTGGTGCTGGGTCTAGTGTACATGTCTTGTAGGGGTCGGAGCTGGGTCTAGTGTACATGTCTTGAGGGTCGGAGCTGGGTCTAGTGTACATGTCTTGTAGGGGTCGGAGCTGGGTCTAGTGTACATGTCTTGTAGGGGTCGGAGCTGGGTCTAGTGTACATGTCTTGAGGGTCGGAGCTGGGTCTAGTGTACATGTCTTGTAGGGGTCGGAGCTGGGTCTAGTGTACATGTCTTGTAGGGGTCGGAGCTGGGTCTAGTGTACATGTCTTGAGGGTCGGAGCTGGGTCTAGTGTACATGTCTTGTAGGGGTCGGAGCTGGGTCTAGTGTACATATCTTGTTGGTACTGGGTCTAGTGTACATGTCTTGTTGGTGCTGGGTCTAGTGTACATATCTTGTAGGGGTTGGAGTTGGGTCTAGCGTATATGACTTGGAGGTTAAGCGCTCTTTTTAAAACGATCTAAACGCAAACATCTTTGAGGTTAGGCTAATTGATTTTGTCTGAAGACCTCCTCTTGTTTTCAACATTCGTGACGTCTAATCTCATCACAAAAACACAACGCTTTAAATCAACAATTGACTTCGTCAAGTTAACAAGGGGTTTAAAAAGTATTACATTTTTATAATAATTAAAGCTGTTTAAAAAAATATAATTCAGTTTCTTTGATGTGTTGAACTTTTTTCAAAAATCGTGTGCCAGATTTCGTAAAGAAGTTTTTAAACATGACAGAAAGAATTCCATTACATTTTTTAAAAAGAAAAAGAAAATAGTTAAGAAACTATAGTTTCAAACAATTTTTTCCCCCACATAAACTTTTACCTAGAACTGTCTCATTAGCGCACACCTCTTCTGTGAACAAGTTTAAAAACTACAAAAAATAAAAAAAAATTGTAAACAATAAGACTTTTTATCTCTCATCAAAATAATTTAGATTTGAAAAAGTAATTTTATCTTGTAAATTAAAGCAAGATTGCGTTTACAACAACTTAAAGAATGCAAACAAGAATACAATAACGGAAAAAACAAAAACAAATAGTTTTTAAAAAATCGTTCAGAACGTTTTAAAACATTCATCATATTACCCAACAATGTTGGCTTGCGTCCATCTTGTTTACCCAGAAATCTCGTCTTAAAATGAAAGCCAACTTCGAGCACCCGGGGTCTGGTATTTAGGGCACTGTTGCAGGGCCGAAAACCTTTCAGGCTAGGCGGGTATGTGAGGGGGGAGGGGGGGCTGGCTCATTGACCCCCACCCCAGATTTATTTATCAGAAAAAAAATACAATAAAAGTAAGATAATCTAAAATAAAAATAAAAACATAGTGTGTAAATAGCTACATAAGCTGTGTGGATAGAATTTCACGAAATGAATTAATACAATGCACAATATCTCTCTGACTTAGTTATATCGCATCAGCTTAGTATTTCGTTGGTAGCAACACTCTTCAATGAGTTATATTCTCATTGAGTATACAGCTGAGTTATAATTAAATAGAACATTTGTTGTCAAGTTATCTAGATTCGACGTCACACCGAGGCTAAAATTATTTCACCTGCTGAACATTGACTTTTTTTTTTCTAAAGCACATGTATAGCCCCTATACAGTAAACAAACAATGTGACACAATTTTGTGTCTTTGTCTTATATCTAAAAACCCCAGCCAAACAACGAAACGAAACGAACTTATTAAAACAACTCTCCATGACGTAGTATAACGTGCTATCAACTCGACGTGAACTCAATAGGGCGGGATGGAAGGGAGGGTGAGAAAAGGGGATGGGGGTGCTGATCGCCATCAATGTGAATTGGTTAATGAGTAGCAGCTGAGACGTAATCCAAACGAAAAACCAGCGGGGTAAGATTAATAGCCCAGGCGTAACTCTGTACGAATGTTATCGGGTGGGGTTGCGCCCCCTCGCCAGTTAACACCAGTGACCACTAATTTGTGGGGAGAGACAGCCCCTTTTAGATGAATGGTGAATCTGTGCCAATGACACAAAGACGCATTGTTGTGGTGGAAAAGGTATCCGATTTTCTGGGTGGATAAAAAGATACGCAAGCGGCTCATCTGGCGAGTTGGTTCCCTTGTTTGTATTCGAGGAGTTAGTTCCCTTGATTGTTCTCCCCAACAGTCCCCCTTTTGTTTTGGTGTTTCAACTCTTCGGGCGATACGATCAGCGCGAGCGTAAACTTATCTTTAAACTTCTCGTTATACAATTTTATCTTTCCCCGTCAAACGTTACCGACATCTACCACACACAGAACAGTATTTGTTGTATGAACAATAGGACAGGGGGTTCGGGGGGTCAAGAACCGAGGATAGAGGGTCATTACGCCTAAAAATAGTTTGATATTAATGTATATCTATGATTAGGGAGAGCGGGGGGGGGGGGGGGATAAAAATATTAGCTCTGATAATTAGAGCTTAAAAATCTAAAATACACAACAAACATAGAGTTAATCACTTGGTACCGCACTCTCTAAATCAGATAGTGTTGGGAAGTTTAAAATGTAGTACTGGAAAAATAACTTCGACTTATTAGTTTATAATTTGTAAAGTTCACCGGAAAATGTGTTCTTTTCGAGCCGCATCCATATATATATATATATATATATATATATATATATATATATATATATATATATATATATATATATATATATATATATATATATATATATATATATAATCTGTATATCGATTTTAACAAATAGAATACAAATAAATTATCAAGATTCAGAAACCCAAGACTAATCCATGATCTAGCCCTAAGGCAAGCATTGTTACATAAGTATAGGAGTATGCTTAGAGTGATAAAATAATGTAGATCTATAGAATCTATGTCTAGATCTATATCTGTTTCAGAAAACCTAACGAAAAACAGATATTTAAAAAAAAAAAAGACATTTTTGTAACTTTTCTTTGTGTCGATGTTGATAATATTTTCACAGCATTAACATTTTCTTCCCTTTGCGTTTCCGAGTGACTAGCGCCTCTATGGTCAACGCTAGTGTCAATTCTCTCGCTACTTGAGCTCGCGGTCTGCCCGCTTCAAGTATTGTAAATTATTGAATCAATGTCAACACACACGGCGCCAGTGCGACGCTGCGCTTCGCCTTCCTGGTGTTTTCGGTGACGCTGCGCACCATAGTGCAAACACTCGCGGTGCGCAGCCAAAGGGGTGAATACTGCGACATAATGAGACGTAGGAACTAACAATTTTCTTTTTACCACGGGACGAGTTTCAATTGAGTATTGACTCACACAATATAAAAACAAGTCTTAACACAATTTTTAAGTTTCTTTCTGGAAAAAAAAATATTTCCACAGTTATGAATCTGCCGTTTCAATATAAAATTAGATTTGAAATCCTGTTTTTTTTTAAAAAAAAAAAAAGCAAATATGCTGTTTATTAAATTTCGAAGAAACTGTTAACACTTTGAGAATGCAAAAACAAATGTATGAAATAGTTCTCATTAATTAGAACCTATCTCTTTTGATATCGTCTATACCAACTTTAAAATAAACAAATAAAAAAATGCAATGTAGGCCTACAGTATAGTGTATAGCCAATTTCGTCCTGACGAATAAAAATTGTTTTCGCCATCTTTCGTTTTGGGTGGGAGGGGTAGGGGGTGGTGGTGAGGGATAACGGGGTGGGGGGGGGTGGTAAATAACCCCAAGTAAAACGTGAGGCGTCTGGCGAGTGTCTCAACCCCCCCCCCCCCCCCCTCCCTTCCATTCACCGACCCGGCACCCTCAGTGGCCCGTCCCGGCTCCCATTGTCTGCGACGTCCGCGCGTAATTTTATTTTGATCATTCGCACGCAATGAACCGCGCAGGACCGGTTGACTCGGATGGAGTTGATATACGCCGGCACTCGATGCCGGCAGTCCGGGACCGGGTATACATTTTCGAGTGTTGAATGAATGAACGACAAATTGTATTTATAAAGTTATTTTTAGCCCTTCTCGAGCTAAACGTCGCGAGGGCAGCACGCGGGCATTACCGCGGGTTACGTGTCTCTAATGTCATTTGAGCTGTTGCGCGGCGCACCGAAGTTGACGCCTTCTTGAGTGCATTAGAAGTGCACACTTTATGCGCCAGAACGCTGGTTCTCAAATTCCCGACAGTAACGCAGACAAAGGAGTCTCACCCCCCTCACCCCTCTCTCCGAGATACCCTTTGCTACAGTTTGTTTACCAAGTTGGGGAAAAAGTTTCTAGACTTATTTTACAGTCGCGTGCGATATGGGTGTTCAGAGATAAGCATTTAAAAGTGATGGGGTTTTATAACTTAATACTTCTCGCGATTGAAAGGCTGATAGGTGAACATGCACTTTATAATAATCTGTCGAAGGATACATCAAAAACATATTAGAACATTTATAAAATGCTTGATATTATTTATTAATGCTTTACTCTCCCTGACTCATGTCAGGTACCCATTAAAGCTGAGTGGACTCAATGAAATACTGCTTAAGTATTTTTAAAATAAGTAGCTAAGTGTATGTTTATGCTTTTTTTTTAGATAAAAAATGTTTATAAAATGTTAAGAAACGCGTTCAGTGTCTTTAAATTATTCTACACTTTTCCGATGAAGACAACTTTATATACGGACCCCTTCCCAAAATAGAATCTCCTCAGTAAATAAAGAATTCTAAAATGCGACATTTTATTTTTACAAAATGTTTCACTTTGTGCAGCAAGCTTGACAAAATAAATAACAAAGTGTTGTCTTTTTTTTCCTAACAGAGACGAAGACACAAGGAGTTTGGTAAAATCTTCCGTGAACAGTTCGGGCCCAGGCACAATGTAGCCGTGGCTGACCCGGCTCTGATGGAGGAGATCCTGAGGAAGGAGGGCAAATATCCCTCCCGGCCTCCCTACGAGTCATGGGTCCTGTACAACAACCTGAGGAACAGAAGGGGCGGGCTAATGACCAGGTGAGAATCCCTGAGGCTTGGGTCAGTGTGGTTTTTGGGACAGTTTCAGGAAGTGGATGGACATTACCGTATTGGGTGCTTTTCTATAAAATAGGTCCCGCCTGACTTTTGTTCATATATGGGGGCCGTGGTCACGGATCTGATGGGGGCCGAGTTAGGGGGTGCTGCGAGCCGTTGAGGATTTAACGGAGCCGTCTGTTGGGCACTAATGGGAGCCATACTCTAAGATCTATTGGGAGCCATACTCTAGGATCTAGTGGGGCCCAGTGTCATGTAAATGACGAGTGTTATGACGAGAGGAGCATTATGCTACGGTCTAGTGGGAGCCATTTTGGGGTCTACATATAGCCGTATATTGGGGGCTAACGGGAGCCATTTTGGGGTCTACAGAGAGACGTATATTATAGCCAAATGGGAGGCATTCATGGGGTGTACAGAGAGCCGTATGGAAGTGTCTAATGTGAGCCGTTTAGGAATAGCTAAGAAGGAGCCGTTTAACAATGCATGTATCTTGATTCTCTTAAAACTTGTCCCGAAGCCCGTCACTCCAACAATGTGTAGGTCTCTGATTAATTTATCACAAGCCCGCATAGCCTTTACCCCCCCTACAGAAACACGAGCCTATCTCTCATCACTCCGCTACTGTAGCGTACATTGTACACATTTTTTTTTTTATTCCTTCCAGAATAACTCCGTATGTTATCGCATCATCTCCAGGCCGTAATTTTATGTTACGCACCATTTACCTCGGGCTTTTAACGTTATAGTTATTCTTACACGCGTAGATTAAAGATAACGGCGAGTTATGATATGGCAAGATATTTAACCGGTGTAAATTTAAGCCGAGTGTCTGCGAGCTGTTAAAAAAAATATCTTCAAGACAAAGGGCTCGGCCCTTGTTATCTAAAAATTTCAGGGGAGGTTATAATAAAGGGAATTAAAGTCTGTATGTTTATCGAGAAATATTCTAGCAATCTTTAGTGTTGATTTAGCGGGCTTATGTGAAAACATAAAATTAAAATAAAAAAGGTTTAGTCTGGTTTTGTAGGAGATAATACTGCACGAGACAAGGTGTATTTTTGAAGAAAAAAAAACAAATTTAGCCGAAGAGCGCACTGGCTATTGGCATGCCTTGGTTTCGCTAACTTTAGTCAGGTAACAATCAGAGCTGGGTTGGGAAAAGTTCGCCCTTCAGAGCTCGGGATCCGAACTCTCGGGCAAGCAGTCGTAAGCTCTACCATTCGACCACGCCGTCCCCTAAAAAACTGTAACGGAAATGTAAAACAAAAAAATAAAATAAAACCACACGCTGTTGATGAAAGAGGGCAAAAAACATTCTCGTTAATAGATTTTGTCTTAACATTGGGAATCTATAAAGTCATTAAAACACAATTGATTCGATAATCTTAAAAGGAGATCTCCAGTTAAAAACAAATGTACAAGCCCCCCCCCCCCCCCCCAATAAAGAACAGAGTTTTTTCTTGATCTGCTCCATTCTTTGTTATCTCTGGTTGTTTCTCGCAATAATTTCTCAATATAAATACCACGCTGTCTCGTGTTTTTTTTTAAAGAGGGGGAGGGGGGGGGGGGCAGATTTCTATACACGTAAACAACCCCCCCCCCCCCAAAAAAAAAAATCATCCACTTCTTCCTTAGAATTCTTGCCACCCCTGGTAATTAAATCTATGAGATGCCCACGATCCTAAAAAAAAACCCACAAAATGATTGAGAAAATGTACTTGAGCACTACCCACCAGGTATTGACCAAGTTTATCTGATAAGTTGCAGACCAAAATAAAGCGGCAACATCTAAAACATGTAAACATCACCCCCCACCCCCTCCACGGAAAAAAAATACAAGTTGCTACATGGGGGTGGGTGGGTGGGCCCACCGCGGTTAATGGCTTACAAAACGTTACATCTGAAACGCCTTGCAACCGAGATAGATTTACATTAACCCGGTGTGATAGCTCAGACCTGCATTATCGCGGGGCCACAGACAGAAATGTATGACAGACATAAGAAACATAAACACGCACCAAAAAAAAAAAAAAATCCACCCCGAGGGGTAAGATAGAAGGCACCACCCTCCTGGCACGGTGCTGCACCGTTCATTGGAACGTCCCTGCGCACTTGGCGAACTCTCGGGGTTCTAGCCAGTGCAAAGTTGATTATAGAAAAACAGGACGGCGCTGCGCAGAACTCCGTGGTTTTGGGGAGATATTTTTTTTTCGCCAACATACCAGTAGTCTGAAAAATAGATCGTTTGATTTTCACGCGTGAAGATTTTTGAGTTGCTCTTATAGTTATACGAAAATGACCAAAGCATTTTGGGTTTAGTTTTCCCATTTGTAACTTTTTATATGTAATCCATTTATATTTTTATTGTATCCGCTGTAAAAAAAATTTTTTTTTTTGCTCAGGAATGTGGTTCTTATGGAATTTTCGATACTACTATGCGTGTTTGCGAGGGGGTAGGGATGTGTGTGTGTGTGGGGGGGGGGGGGGGGGGTAACAGAAATTAAACAAGTCGATGCAAAGATTTGTTTTAAAAGTTGGTTTAGATTATTATAAACATTTTTGTGTCAACAAACTAACGCGAATCAACAGAAAAACAAACACATATGAGTTAAAGACTTGTCTATGGTAACGCTCTCAAAATGAACTTGATAAAAACATTGCGTCCTGCAAGTTCCCTTGTCTTTGAACCTGTGTCAAATTGGTGAGTGATATGTGCGACCAAATCAGTCGACCACAGGCACTGGTATTAGGTAAATGACGTTTTCGTTATTTTTTATCGTCCACCTTGCTAAAGACATCAAAGACGTTACAAATTGGAGGAGGGATTACTACCTTCTGTTCTTGCTAATGCGATCCAGGGGGGGGGGGGGCACGATTTTTTGTTGTTGTATGATTTTTAAGTGTTCTTCTAAAAAGACAAGGCATGGAAACAAAGGTCAAGGCTGAAAGAGTTTTTGGAATTTCTGCCGTTATTTATTTCATTTCTTTTCCGCCGAAATATTTTTTAAAAGATTTGAACTTCTATTTTAAAGGCGAAAAAGAACCCATTCTTATAAAAAGAAGTTTAAATTTTTTTTTTTTAATTTCAAACTAAAGTCACCAAAAAGATACCTTGAGGTCTCATGACGTCACACGTTCAGAAGACTTGAGTTAAGTGAACTCTGACCCCCAGAATGGAAGTGATGTATATATTTCAAGCACTTTACATAGGTTATTTATAACATCACGTGACTTGATTTATCCGTCCCCGTCGAGAGCAGAAAATTTACGTGCTGTAACATTTGATTTACACATCTCAGGTCAATATTTTTTATATCACAGAACCCTTCCAATCTGCCCTGCAATGTCGCGTTAATTTTAAATGATTGAGGGACGTGTTAACTCCTCTAATTATTTACTGTACCCCTGTCGCACTAAAAATTGTGTATCTGTAAAGGCAGGAGGGGGGGGGGTAGAGGGGGTATCGCGTGACCTGATTCAACCACCGACACAACCCCACAAACCTGGGCCAGCTTTCATTGAATTTGTCGCCCGGGCCCGCCTTGAATGGCCAGTCGACACCGCCATCCGAAATACGATCGACGTGTCATGGGAGTGTGTGCGTTTCTTTGATGGTGTGTGTACTGCTGTGGTGTTGTGTTTGTTCCCTGTTGATATTGTGTGTGGTGTTGTGGTTGTTCCCTTCTGATGTTGTGTGTGGTGTTGTGTTTTTTCCCTCTGATGTTGTGTGTGGTGTTGTGTTTTTTCCCTCTGATGTTGTGTGTGGTGTTGTGGTTGTTCCCGCTGATGTTGTGTGTGGTGTTGTGGTTGTTCCCTTCTGATGTTGTGTGTGGTGTTGTGGTTGTTTCCTTCAAATTTTGTGTGTAATGTTGTGTTTGTTCCCGCTGATGTTGTGTGTGGTGTTGTGTTTGTTCCCGCTGATGTTGTGTGTGGTGTTGTGTTTTTTCCCGCTGATTTTGTGTGTGGTGTTGTGTTTGTTCCCGCTGATGTTGTATGTGGTGTTGTGTTTGTTCCCTTCTGATATTGTGTGTTCTGTTCTGTTGTGGTGTTGTGTTTGTCCCCTTGTAACGCTGTGTGTACTACTAATGTTATGTGCATATATACCGCTAGCATTTGCATGGTACACGCTGTTTTTCGCAATAATTTATTGATATTTATACCGTCGATGTGTTTCTTGTTTTATCGCCTTTCGCCCACCCCCTTCCATTATTTATTTGTGGACATGCGCCTTGATCTAAAGAACGACATCTTAAGCACGTGATCTAAAGAACAAGTGTTTATTTTCCGTCTTCTCGCTCTCCTTCGCTCACCATGGCTGTATTTGCTGACAACGTGTTCTGCCATATGGCTTGTAAAACACTACTATCATGCAGGGTATGATTCTCTTGCTTTGATCATCAAAGATTGCCAGATTTTATCATTACTTTCCGAACAAAAGTAGCCAGATTTTTATCATTACTATCCGAACAAAAGTAGCCAGATTTTTTATCATTACTATCCGAACAAAAGTAGCCAGATTTTTATCTTTACTTTCCGACCAAAAATTTTTTTGAATAAGAAATGCCAGATTTATAATTTCTTCCTGGCCAAACGATGCCAGATTTTAGAATTAACATTTAAGCCAAAATTTTCAAGAGTGCTAGAGTTTATTATAACTTTTCGGTCATATTTTACCATATTTTGTCTGAATAAGCTAGCAGAGGCGTAGCGACCCCTCCCGGCGCCCGGGGCGAACTTTCAGTTAGGCGCCCCCCATATATATATATATATATATATATATATATATATATATATATATATATATATATATATATATATATATATATATATATATATATATATATATATATATATATATATATATATATATATATATATATATATATAATATATATATATATATATATATGCGCGTGTGTTTGTGTGTGCGACAGTCTGGAAAAAAATTAACAATTACGCTGATTGTCGTTCCCTAAAACTTCACTGGATGCCAATTAAATTCACCTTAAGATGCCGAAACAAATAAAAAGTAGAAAATCAAAAGAGCTTAGAACAGTGGGCTCCATCGAACCCGAGAGGTTCGGTAATTCAGTCTCAGGGCTTCCGTGGAGGTCAAGACACACGCCCGACTCATAGGATTCACGATCGGATTTTGTCATTGTGGACGATTAAGGAGGGTTCGGTGATTGCGCATTTAAAACTGGTGGGGTTCGGTACTCCAAAAAGTTAAGAACCACTGCTTTAGAGTGTATTTTGTTGAAGGTGCAAGCCTTATTTGGTGTACTTTTGGTCGTGTCTTTAGAACAATTTCGATAATAGTAGGCAAATATTGCAATTTTGAATTATCAGTTAGGTTGAACAAAGTAATAATAAAAATTTTGGCAAAAAGTGTCGCTTCCTGTCCACCCGCTCCGACAGTCTGCTATTTTACTGATCGGATAGCGATACAAGAATCCGTTATATTTATTTCTCTTTAATGCAGTGATCCAGGCAAGATGTAATGCAATCAAGTAAAAGTATCTGATCTATCACGATCAAGTTGAGAGAATCGTAAGAATCGTAGTAAGAACCAGTCACGTTATTACTTAGCAAAACTGGGTAGTGAAATCGTACATTAAGTGTTAATACAATTTATTTCTTTTCTAAGTGTTAAAAGAGTTATCTAGCAACCGATCCAGTACAAATCCTGCGATTTTTGTTAGTGAAAAAGCGCCCCACCATCTTGGACAAAAATGGTAGAGCGGATTTTAAACGTCACTAACTCTTTTTTATGTTACACAATCGTAAAATACGCTTTAGTTCAATGTGTTACTTTTCTGAGTGATATCTGTTATTTATTCCTTAATCAGGTGTGAATTTTTCCGATTTTAGTCTTCGAAAAAGCGCCCCCCTCCCCCCATCGAGGAAAGCTGGAAAGCGGTTTTTCCGGTCACTGTTTCTTAAAGATATATGTTTTACAGTTACACAATCAAGGTAGAAAACAGTTAAATCAGTATGCAAAGGCTCTCGGCCGTTCAATTACTTTACTTTGACTGTTTATAATTCAAAACTGCAGCTTAAAATGAGCTTTTAATTTTTTTTTCTACCCCTTTTGGCGCCCCCCTAGGGTCGGCGCCCGGGGCGGCCGCCCTCCCCGCCCTCCCCTAGCTACGCCTCTGTAAGCTAGACCCATACCACGCATCGCTATGAGTTTGAGAAAAGTTCCCACAAAACATAATGACAGAATTTCAAAGGACTAAATTTAAAAAAAAACTACCTACCACTATTTGACGCTAACATTAACCATGAATTTATCTTAACTGATTGAAAGGTTGTATGGTGGGCGATGTATTGTGGGTTAGGTAGGCAATACAAGTGGGACAGGTAGCAGTGTATGGTAGGCAATATAGAGTGGCACAGGTAGGCAATGAAAAGCGGCACAGGTAGGTAGTGTATAGTGGCACTGGTAGGCAATATAGAGTGGCACAGGTAGGCAATGTAAAGTGGCACAGGTAGGCAATGTATAGTGGCACTGGTAGGCAATATAGAGTGGCACAGGTAGGCAATGTAAAGTAGCACAGGTAGTAAATGTAGGGTGGCACAGGTAGGTTAATAGATGGTGGCACAGGTAGGCAATGTATAGTGGCACTGGTAGGCAATGTATAGTGGCACAGGTAGGCAATATAGAGTGGCACAAGTAGGCAATGTATAGTGGCACAGGTAGGCAATGTATAGTGGCACAGGTAGGCAATGTATAGTGGCACAGGTAGGCCAATAAATGGTGGCACAGGTAGCAGCGCAAGGTGGGGAAGATGAGTCGACAGTTTAGGGGCAAAGATTTCTGGAATGCCAGGGGTTCACCGCTGTGATGCACGTGGGTGAACGGTACTCACCAGTGGGAGAATCTAAACATATAAACACCGCCAGGGGGCAGCACCGTGCGTTTCAGGTGTACACACGTTTTTTTTTTTTTTTTTTTTTTTGAAGTCACATATTTTAAAAATTGGAGCAAAAAAAATGGAACTTGTTTTTGTAAAATTTTGCAAAATATTTTAAATATATGAGTTGTATAACTGGTGGTTCAAGTCTAATTTTGGTGTGTGTGTGGTTTTTTTTTCTTAATGATAATAAAGAATGTAGGTATAGTGTTCTTTGTATCAGAAGTGATAATTATAAGAAAGTTTGTATGCATGAGGATATAGTGTTTTTGTCTGTTTTAGTTGTGTAAAAATGGTAGATAATAAAAAATATGTTCAGAATGTTCACGCAGTAAAGACATTCCACTGTTTAGACAATTACAGATTTAATCATATCATTTGCGACAGTATTGGAATGATATCAATTAAGATAGTGTGCTCCTAGTATAAAACCTGGAGATCTTTTTAAAGTGGTTTCTGTTATTGTTTATTTAGCCATATTTAAAGTCATTTCTCAAATTATTATTTTACCTACATTTAAATACTAAGTCATATTTCTATCTATTGCTTTACCAACATTAGGATGTTAAGTCTTTTCTCCAATCATAGTTTCACCAACATAGGAACACTTAGTCATGTATGTAATTGTTGTCTCCCCTTGCAGTGAGAAAGAGTACTGGCGACGAAGCCGGAGCGCCTTCGCGTCCACTCTCCGCCCTAAGGCCGTGTGTGAGTACGTGGACGGCATGAACCAGGTGTGCGTGGACCTAGTGGACAGAATCACCTACCTGAAGGACAAGGAGGCTGGGACACACCTGGTGCCCCGTCTGCTCAACGAACTCAACAAGTTCACCATGGAAAGTGAGTACAATTCGTTTGCCAGGAATTCTCAGGAATGTACGCTTGGCGGGGGAGGGGGGAGGGGGTAAGAGGTCGGAAGTATGTGAAATGGATTAATAAAAAAAGAAATAATTGGAAAGGGGAAATAATAATAAAACAAACACAAATAGTCGTTCAAATATAGGTTTTCTATTAGCAGCTATTAACTTGGTTGGGTTTAGAGTTTGGATGGGTAGGTAGCGTACTCAAGCACCCTCATGTAAACCAAGAATTCGATTTATTTTTTGTAAACTTAGTAGACCAGACCATTGTGTAATGAGACTCTTCTATGACAAAAAAAAACAAACAGAAAAGGTCAGGAGATGTTTGCGTTTTTAATCTCAATATTTTCCCATTATGGGTTATAATTTTCAAACAATTTTTAACGAATCAAATAATGTGGGAATTTCAACTTTTTAATATATATATTGCAATTTAGTCATTGAAAGCGCTCTCTGTTCTTGTTGTTATTATTGTTATTTCCAGAGTTTCTTCCAGGCATCTCTTCGGGGGGGGGGGGGCGAAGTCCCCCCGAAAATTTTTTACCGCCCCCCCCGAACGAAATAAAATTTATATAATTTATATAGAAAATATATACTTTTAACAGTGTCCGCCCCCCCCCCCCCGAAGAAAGTCTACCGCCCCCCCCCCCCCCCCCCCCGAAAATTTCAAGTGCCCCCCCCCCGGAGAAAAAAGTCTGGAAGAAACACTGGTTATTTCTTTACTCGCATTGCTAAAATCTTCGTGAAACATGTATTGTATAATTTCCCCTTTCTAACATCAACTTCAGCGGTTCTGTCTAGCGGAAATTCCTTCCGCGATTCCCTCAAGCTCCCTTTAGAATAGCTTCTTTTTAAATAGCGACTTTTCATCGTGTGCTATTGACCGTATGAAACCGCAGACAAGAAAACAGGGGGAGAACTCTCACACCCCAAACAGAGTTGCCGGTAATTGACATCCGGAAACGAACAATCCATTGTTTCGGCCCGGACGTTTCCGATTCGTCTTGACATTTGTTGACAAGACTTGACAGAAAGGGCTTCAATTTACGAACCTGTGGTCTGCAGCTCAAACCTGACGTCCCGTCCCCCCCTTCACCTTCCCCGTCCCCCCTCACCTCCCCCGTCACGCCGAGTACCTTAATTCAAGCAAGACTTGATCGACTAACAGCATCTGGTCTGAATTAGAGGCAGTCCACCACACGGGCAGGTTCAACACCGGTGTTCAGAATTGAAGCTGTCTGGCTACCTAAACACATACACCAGCTGTCTGGCTACCTAAACACATACACCAGCTGTCTGGCTACCTAAACACATACACCAGCTGTCTGGCTACCTAAACACATACACCAGCTGTCTGGCTACCTAAACACATACACCAGCTGCCTGGGTACCTAAACACATACACCAGCTGTCTGGCTACCTAAACACATACACCAGCTGCCTGGGTACCTAAACACATACACCAGCTGTCTGGCTACCTAAACACATACACCAGCTGTCTGGCTCCCTAAACACATACACCAGCTGCCTGGCTACCTAAACACATACACCAGCTGTCTGGCTACCTAAACACATACACCAGCTGTCTGGCTCCCTAAACACATACACCAGCTGTCTGGCTACCTAAACACATACACCAGCTGTCTGGCTACCTAAACACATACAACAGTGTGTCTGGCTACCTAAACACATACACCAGCTGTCTGGCTACCTAAACACATACACCAGCTGTCTGGCTACCTAAACACATACACCGGCTGTCTGGCTACCTAAACACATACACCAGCTGCCTGGGTACCTAAACACATACACCAGCTGTCTGGCTACCTAAACACATACACCAGCTGTCTGGCTACCTAAACACATACACCAGCTGTCTGGCTACCTAAACACATACACCAGCTGTCTGGCTACCTAAACACATACACCAGCTGTCTGGCTACCTAAACACATACACCAGCTGTCTGGCTACCTAAACACATACACCAGCTGTCTGGCTACCTAAACACATACACCAGCTGTCTGGCTACCTAAACACATACACCAGCTGTCTGGCTACCTTGAGCTGTTTGGCTACCTAAACACATACACCAGCTGTCTGGCTACCTAAACACATACACCAGCTGTCTGGCTACCTAAACACATACACCAGCTGCCTGGGTACCTAAACACATACACCAGCTGTCTGGCTACCTAAACACATACACCAGCTGTCATGGCTACATAAACACATACACCGGCTGTCTGGCTACCTAAACACATACACCAGCTGTCTGGCTACCTAAACACATACACCAGCTGTCTGGCTACCTAAACACATACACCAGCTGTCTGGCTACCTAAACACATACACCAGCTGTCTGGCTACCTAAACACATACACCAGCTGTCTGGCTACCTAAACACATACACAAGCTGTATGGCTACCTAAACACATACACCAGCTGTCTGGCTACCTAAACACACACACCAGCTGTCTGGCTACCTAAACACATACACCAGCTGTCTGGATACCTAAACACATACACCAGCTGTCTGGCTACCTAAACACATACACCGGCTGTCTGGCTACCTAAACACATACACTGGCTGTCTGGCTACCTAAACACATACACCAGCTGTCTGGCTACCTAAACACACACACCAGCTGTCTGGCTACCTAAACACATACAACAGTGTGTCTGGCTACCTAAACACATACACCAGCTGTATGGCTACCTAAACACATACACCAGCTGTTTGGCTACCTAAACACACACACCAGCTGTCTGGCTACCTAAACACATACACCAGCTGTCTGGATACCTAAACACATACACCAGCTGTCTGGCTACCTAAACACATACACCGGCTGTCTGGCTACCTAAACACATACACTGGCTGTCTGGCTACCTAAACACATACACCAGCTGTCTGGCTACCTAAACACACACACCAGCTGTCTGGCTACCTAAACACATACAACAGTGTGTCTGGCTACCTAAACACATACACCAGCTGTCTGGCTACCTAAACACATACACCAGCTGTCTGGCTACCTAAACACATACACCAGCTGTCTGGCTACCTAAACACATACACCAGCTGTCTGGCTACCTAGACACATACACCAGCTGTCATGGCTACCTAAACACATACACCAGCTGTCTGGCTACCTAAACACATACACCAGCTGTCTGGCTACCTAAACACATACACCAGCTGTCTGGCTACCTAAACACATACACCAGCTGTCTGGCTACCTAAACACATACACCAGCTTTCTGGCTACCTAAACACATACACCAGCTGTCTGGCTACCTAAACACATACACCGGCTGTCTGGCTACCTAAGCACATACACAAGCTGTATGGCTACCTAAACACATACACCAGCTGTCTGGCTACCTAAACACATACACCAGCTGTCTGGCTACCTAAACACATACACCAGCTGTCTGGCTACCTAAACACATACACCAGCTTTCTGGCTACCTAAACACATACACCAGCTGTCTGGCTACCTAAACACATACACCAGCTGTCTGGCTACCTAAGCACATACACAAGCTGTATGGCTACCTAAACACATACACCAGCTGTCTGGCTACCTAAACACATACACCGGCTGTCTGGCTACCTAAGCACATACACCAGCTGTCTGGCTACCTAAACACATACACCGGCTGTCTGGCTACCTAAGCACATACACAAGCTGTATGGCTACCTAAACACATACACCAGCTGTCTGGCTACCTAAACACATACACCATCTGTCTGGCTACCTAAACACATACACCAGCTGTCTGGCTACCTAAACACATACACCAGCTGTCTGGCTACCTAAACACATACACCAGCTGTCTGGCTACCTAAACACATACACCAGCTGTCTGGCTACCTAAGCACATACACCAGCTTTTTGGCTACCTAAACACATACCCACTTAACCAACCAGCTCCCAATACATGTCGGCCAATACAATGTGGGCTGTGTTGGGCCCCTGCTCGAATTATAAATAACTTTATTCTCGATGCCTCTATCAGTAGCGTACGCAGGGGTGGAGCAGGGGAAGCGGCCGCTCCCCCTCTGTCCATTTTTAGCAAAGTGGCGCCTTTTTGGAAACTTTTTAAACTCAAAGTTTTAAACATTGATATTTGTTAAAAACGTATGTTTGGTCGGCAAATCTATGCAAATCACAAGATTTATGTCATGCAGCAATTAATTATAACAGTAATAGACTAGTAGAGTCAACGTTTACAACACGTATTAGCAGCTGTATCAGTTTGTCATTCTAAAAATAACCATTACGATGCATTGCACTGTTTAAAAAACCTCTACAGGCAGGACCACTTGGCAAGAGGGGTGTTAAGTTTAAGGCAACTGTATAATGTATTTGCTTACGAATAATTGAATTAGAAAATGTTACATGTAAAACTTCAATCATAATTACTTTATATATACAGTTTAAATCATGTAATTTATTTTTTAAAATTACAATACAGACACAAATACAACTAATGTGGCACCTCTATTTAAATTTACTTATGGTCGAACTGCGTAGCGGTGGGGAAATTTTGACAAGGTCATCGACATCATCACGATGAAGTGGTAGTATTATGACAGTTTGATTACGATTACAAATTAAATGAAACAGTATCAACTTTCTATTAATAATTATTTTAGTTTACAAGATCTAGATCTATATTATATTTGAACAATGCTATATTTTATATATATATATAAAAACAGCAACTCAATTTAAACTTACACTGATCGCACAGTTAGTTATCCGCTACTTATTTAAATCTACTTTTGAATCAGTATACATGCGTAATTGAATATGTATGGGGTCGTCCATAAATGACGTCACAATCGTAGGGGGGTCCGAAATTTTATGACGGTGTGTGATGAGGGGGAGGGGGGGGGTTCAGATGGTGCGACGTCACACTTTTGCATTATAAAAAAGCAATGTTAGAAAACGAAGTTTAGACGTTATTTTGCGTTTTAGAAAACTGTTTTAATAAATTGTAATAACAATTGATTAAAATACTATATTTTGACAGAGTTCAGACAAGATTTTGGGAAAATATAGATCTAGCTGTTTAAAAAAATTTAACTGCAATTTTGAGGGGGGTTGTAGGCTGAGGTGTGATGTCATTTTAGGGGGGGGGGGGGAGAGGTCTGGCTTTTTGGGACGACGTGTGACGGAGGGGAGGGGGAGGTAAAAATCGTCAAAAAAGCGTGACGTCATTTATGGATGACCCCTATGTTTAGAACTGTCATCTAAAAACTGACGCTATGTTCACTCTGAGTTGGTTATCCACACCCACCTTACCACCACAATTGTGTAGAGCGACATTAATGTCACACCTTGGTATACGCTGGATTGGATAATTGACCTAAAGTGACAGGACAGTGGTGAATGAAGTTGAACCCCTCCTCCCAACCCGCAACGAACTGATCTGTTAAGTACATTTGGAACGCGTAATGATGCACCAAAGTACCATGCCGCCAGAATCATAGCTATTGAAACGTAAATCTCTGTGAATATTGTTTTTGCAATTACCAGTAAAAGGTGTGTGAGCAGTGATCTAACCCATACCTTCTCATAATGTTAAAAAATTATCTTTAAAGAACACATAAAGTCAGTAGCTAATTAAAAAGTGAATGATATGTAATGGAAGACCAATATTTTAGTTGTATGATTTCAGTCCGATTGTTTTACTTTTACTTTGTAAAGCTAGTTTTTATACCAACTCTGATTTTAAAAACTTTCATTATGCTGTAATATTTTAGCATTTATGATGACAATATATTTAGATCTGATTGTAGACAAAACACTTTTGTAAAAACAAATAATGTTAAGCTACTTTATTAGATTCATAAGTAATTATTGATTTGTTTTGATATTTATAATAAAATATGTAGAATATACATATTTATATTAAGATATTGATTATTTCCCCTTTTCGCTTGTCCCAGGAATTATAATGTAGTTTTTTTTACAAGGGTTACGAAACAGATTATGCTGCGTTCATTGTTTTTGGTTGTAGTGTGATATATATATATATATATATATATATATATATATATATATATATATATATATATATATATAAATAAATAAATAAATAAATATATATATATATATATATATATATATATATATATATATATATATATATATATATATATATATATATATATATACTTATATAGAAGATATTACAAATTCGGCGCCTTTTTTTGCTATTTGCGCTCCCCCTACACCGAAAACCTGGGTACGCCTCTGGCCTCTATATTAACAAAAACTGTTTGATTTTTACTGGTCATTTAAAAATGATGTTGTAGGAAGATAATATATATCATAGAAATTGATATATAACATTTAGAGGAAAGACAGAGGTAAATGGTCTTTGTTTATCATCCAATGTATCTTTCAACATTTTAACGTGAAATTTTCAACTTGTTTCTCTAGCGATTTTGTACGTCATGCTGAACAAGAGGGTCGGGTGTCTGGACAGGGAGGTGTCCGAGAAGGTCAACACCTTTATCCAGTCCATTGCCACCATGTTCCTCACAGGTCACCAGCTCATGGTCTACGCCAATCTGCACAAGCTGCTCCGGACACGCCCATGGAGGGAGCACGTGCAGTCCTGGGACAAAATCTATGACTTCGGTAGGTCCAGTCATCCATTGGCTTTATGTACATATGTGAGTAGGCCTATGAGTTGAGGCATGTGTATATATATATATATATATATATATATATATATATATATATATATATATATATATATATATATATATATATATATATATATGTAAATGCCTATATTAAATATAAGTCTATATGTAACTAAATACTTGTACTCCTATTGACAGCTGCTGAACACATCAATCAACGCATTGATGAAGTGACCAAAGAACTGGACAGTGGGGTACCACCAGTTGAGGGTGAACATGTTGACTTCATGAAATTTATCGTGGGCACCCACCAGCTGTCTAGGAATGAGATTGTGGACAACGTGATCGAAGTTTTCATGGGCGGAATTGATACTGTAAGTCTCTTCTAAATGTTTCATTAATTGAGCTACTACCTTTTCTAAATTATTTATTTATTATTCTATGTAGAAGGTGGGTGGGGTGGAGGTGTAACTGTTGAACACTAATGGGAATCAGCAATAGGATTTAATATACACAACAATCCTAATTTTAAATCTACACCACAATTCCTTAAAGCTTTAAATTCGGGACATGTAAAAAAAAAATACCCAGACGTTACCCAAAATTTCAACTGGCGCCGTAATGTTTTCTCCACAGACTGCCAACTCCCTGGCCTTCCTCTTCTACCTCCTGTCCAAGAACGAATCAGTCCAGCAGCGCCTCATCAACGAGGTGGACAACATTTTAGGAAAGCGCCAACCCACCAGCGCTGACCTGCAGAACTTGACCTTCTTGAAGGCATGTGTCAAGGAAACATTGAGACTGTTCCCACCCATCCCTATGAATGCCAGAACAACCACAGAGGACACATCAGTAGGCGGATATTTCATCCCTAAGGATGTGAGTCCCTTCACAGTTTTTTTTTAGAAAAATTTTAGAATATTTAATTTTTGTCCAAAATGCTATATATAGTAACATAAAATTCTTTAAAATGCTGGAATATGAAAAAGAAAATGAAACAACTCATTTGTTGATTCCCAGACTATCCTTATGATGAACCTGTATGTGATGTCCAGAGACGAGAAAATCTTTCCTGACCCGGATGAGTTCAAGCCAGAGAGATGGCTGCGAGGGTCCGAGGAGTCCACTGCCCCAGCCTTTTCCTTGATTCCATTTGGTTTTGGAACAAGAAGCTGTGTTGGTGAGTACCTGACTACTGCTCTTTTTAAAAACAATAATTAAATGCTAATGGTTAATTAAATACAGATGCTTTGAAACTTTTTATTTATAACTATATTATTTAGCTTAATTTTGTTTATTTATTTAGAAAATAAAGTAAAGCTACCTAAATTAACCTCAAATAAATCTACTTGAGCTAGAATATTTACTTGAATATATATTTTTTTTCCAGGTAGAAGAATAGCAGAAACACAGATTTATCTGGCCACTGTGCAGGTTTGTTTACCTAGATCAAACTTTTTTCTTAGAATTTATTTTAAAAAAAAAAACATAATTACCAACTATTGGTTTAATTATAAAATAAATATTGAGTATGGCTGTTATATATTTTAGGCTTATTAGCTAGTGACTTTTAAAAAAAAACTATTTTAATAAGAATATAGTATTTTTATTGGGGTAACTTAGTAATTTTATCTACCTTTTAAAGTGTTTGGTCATTAACTAATTAATTGAAAATTAGGTTTTTTTTGGACAATACAAGCAGTATTTTTCTCGTAAAATTTTTTATATATTATATCAAATGACTGACAAAATTTAATGCAAAAATACTTACCATGTTATTTACTGAAGTTACAAAAGATGTTTAATTTTGTGTTAATTTGTCACCAGATTCTCCAGAGATTTTGGCTGAAGAAGAGTGACCAGTTTGACATCAAACCCTCCGTTCGAACACAACTGACCCCCGGGCCTGAACTCCCTGTCATGTTCATGGCAAGATAAACAAGAACTCTTCTAAGTCAGAGTTCAAATAAAAAGAGATAGTATTTAGTTCTGATATTCAGGTGTATTTTAAAACCATGGTAGCAGAGTTCTTGATGGATATGACAGCTACCAAGAGACTACTCTATAGAAAGTGTACAGATGTTGATGTGAGGTTTTGAAGTGTAAATGTTAAGCCAGCATGTTTCACATGTTCAGATGAACTTCATGATATGTCGGTCTAAAGGAATTCATTCATGGTTTACATTTAATTAGAGAGAGTTAAGAAATAAATGCAAGTTAAGAAATACATCAGTTTGTCCCTGCTGAATTAAATGTATTTATTTTGATGGGTTATCCTAGCTGAGATTAAACAAACGTGACAGTTTGAGTTAGGGCCTATTTAATATGAAACATTTTTAGAGTTTTTAAGTCTTTTGGCTGAATGTTCAAATTTGTAGTTTTAAGGAACCTACTTTAAAGAAACATACATTAATCAACATGATTACACTAATTTGGCCTTATTTTAATAATTAAAAAAAATGAATTTAGCATCCAAGCCTATGTTCATGATAAAGTAAAAATTGAGGTGGTCAGATTGAGCACACCCCAGTTTATTCTGCTGTGTGTTAGATTTTACATTATTGCGTGTAAATTTGTCATTTTGTACAGAGGTTTCAAGGATATTTTTGTAAGTAGCATGTACATATTTTGCAACCAAAAAAGAAAACAATGTGCAATCATTTTTGGAAAAATTATCTGGCTATGTTGTCTTTTTCATGCCAGGTTTTGTTTTGTTTTGTTTTCAAACTATCAAGAATAATTTCAATTTTCTTTTTTTTTTCTCACACTCTGACACTGCTATCAATGCAGCTCTCTTGTTTAAATAACACCAGAGAATAAACTGAAATATGCAGGCTACCTACATCTATAGGCTACCTGTATGCAAAGGCTACCTACCTATCACAGATTGTTCCAATTAATATAGCTGGATATCTGAGGCTACCCCAGCTAGCAGTAGCCCCTGTTAGTTTTTATCAGAGGTTTGATGATCCTAATCTAATGCCTTTTCCATGAAACAAGTCTGACTTGCAACTCCTAGTTTCATTTTCTCACAAAGTTAACACTTCAGTATTCATCATAACAAATTTCAGTTGTCTTGTTTGTTTTTTAAAAAATGTTCAAATCAGATTTTCACTTTAACTAATTGATATTTTTTTCCTTCTTTTTATTTCCTTAAAGTCTTGTAAGAGAATTAATCAGGTGTCTCATTATCATTTAAAGAGAAATGGCATCCGAGCACACACAGTTACTCTACACGCCTTCCATTTCTTTGCTCTTGTTCACTGGATTGTGTCTTGTAATGTCTTATGATCTTGTTGAAAAATGACGGTGCTATGTTAAACAAAGTTGGGTGTTTTCAGTGCTTCAAACCATTTGTTTATATTGGAAACAAACAGAGCACAAACATATGTATTAATCAGTTTTTTGACAAGTGTTTTCAATTGTTCATTTAGTGTAAAAAAAATACAAGGCGAACTTGTTTGCAATAAAACGTTTTGTGAATAAGCTTATCTTTTCGATTGGATGTAACTGTTATTGGTCTTAATTTAATATTTATTTTGTAAAATACTGAACGTTTTGGGAAAATGTTTTCAATTATGTACATTTTATGATTTATTTACTAGTACATTTTATTTATTTACAATGTATTATTAATCAAAGGACAAAGTGTTTTTTTTTACAATACAATGCAATAAAGGCTAATTATGAGCTATAGAGAAGAGATTAGCTTTAACGAAGTTGGCCATGATATGTCTAATTTTAAAAATGCATTACAATAGTGAAAATCAATAAAAGTAACTTGTATAGTTTTGATGCAATCTTCATATATAATTCTGCATATAAAGTTTGCCTTTAAGTTGTATTGCAACAAAAAAAAATGACTTGTGTGAATTAGTGTTGAATTTAATTTTTATTATTTTACTTTAAGGTAAAATGGTCTAAATTTTATATAAATGGATTTGTTCATAAGTTCAGACTATAACGTCGAAACATATCTGTTTCAAAATGTTCAAGCAACAGATATGTTATTTAATGTGCACAAACTTGATTTTTTGTGTGTTGTTTTCATAGGAAATGTACGAGTTGTGTTCTACAATCAATTTTAACATTAGACATTTTTTTTGTACATATATAACAAGAGAACAAAAACTGAACTTACAGAACTAGATTTCACTTTTTCATTATGGATACTATTTGGAAAGTTAATCAAAGATTACTTGATTGTTTTTAATTAAACTTTTTTTACAAAATAATACAGTTTTTATTTACTATAAGAAATATTGATCTGGCCAGGGAGAAAGTACATTAAATGCCTACAGGAGATCAGATCAAAATGTCAATGAATTAAAGTTGTAGATGATTCACTGCAATAATTTTATTATTTTACAAACAATTCTTTTCGGTATGACATTGACAGTAGTTTCTTAAATTTAAATCATGCAATTTGTAAATGTCTTCGAAAGAAATTTTTCAGCAAATAGTGAAACATTTACATTTTATACTATTGTTTTAAAATTTTAAAATATATTTTAAAATATTTTACTTCTTCATTTGATTTTGAGGTAAAATTTTTTAAAGCATGGACGAAAATCAAAACTTAGAATGGATAGACAATAAATATAATACATTTAGGTTGTGTTCATTTTATTAAGTGTCATATGAGATTTTCAAAGAATTTTATTGGTTTCTTAAAAACTCAGATTTTCTTAATTTATTCACAGGTTTTATTTCATAAAGACTTTTTAAACTGAGTTTTTAAAAATCTTTATTACATATTTTGCTGCTGTTGTTAGAAAGTATGATTTTCTAAAATTCAATGTTTTTTTTTAAAGAAAAGTCAGAAACTCGCTACTTTAAGGTTATCAAGTGGTTTATTTTACATTCAAGTAAATGTCACATTTAAAGTGCAACAACTTTAAATCAAGGCAATTAAAACTTAAGTTAATTACCTGCATTTTAAGTTCTGTTAACAATCAAATAAAGTTACAATTTAAAAAAAAAATTGTAATAGACTTAAGAAACACAACCTCACTTATTTAAAAAAAAAAATTAGACATTTTTTAATTTAAAAAATATTGTTATTGTTGTTACAATGTTCATAATGTAAATATTTTATAGACATGATGGAATAATTGATATATATATATATATATATATATATATATATATATATATATATATATATATAACATGAATTTAGGTAGTAATCATGAAAACCATATAGCCAAAGACAAATGTCTCGCTCGTCGAGATCTGGATAAAACAGTCATCTATAACGGGTACTATTCTTGCTTTATTTTCTCATGTAGTTTGAGCGCAGTCTTACCCTCATACCCTTCTCCCCCACCCTGGGCTTGGGTACTGGTGGTTTACATGTGGAGGGCTGGGCAGCTGTCTCCACCTTTTGTTACTGAGCATCTTGGAAACATTTTACGACATATGAACCACATGTGTTGATTTGGCAAACTGATCAAATTTAAAGGCAAATTTGTCTTCATATGCAACAGGTTAAATCAGCACCCTCACCCACCCTTTCCCCACCCTTTCCCAGCACACCTCCCCCTCTCATCATTTACCTACTCAGTTTTACCTATGACTTATGCAAATATATTTTTTAAAACCATCCAAAGATTTTTTTTCAAGAAAAACTAAATGATTTTTTTAAATTTTTTATTATTTTATTTGCCAGTTTTGAGGAATTAACATGTTATATAACTAATTAACGATGAGAAATATTTGTAAATGTATTTTAATTGTAATAACAACTTGTTTTGTTGGAATATTTTTTTACAAAATTTTGACATTTTGTAACTAACAAACGATTTGGTTAAACTGCGTGTTATTTTAAGTAAACGTAAAATGAAAAAGAAAGTATAGAAAAAAAGTTTTTTTTTGCTTTTTTCCCCCATAGTAGACCCCCAGGCAATTCTCTCCCCCCAACCTCTTTCTCCCGAATAAAACCCTCCCCTTTTCTCAGAACACTGATCCCCTCTTTATTAAAAATAAGAATATGAAACAGTATTATATTTTATTGCTTTGTAACTGACAAGCCTAGCATTTACCTGTAGAAATATTCCTTTTGGTTGAGGCCAGTTTACATGTACACCTTCTAGAAGGGATGATGTCATGATTTTTTTTATTATTGATGTACCTGTCATGTGCTGTCCCCCAACCCCCTACGACGAAAAGTATAAATAAACAAACGCTCAAATGAAGCAGGAGTTGTTCGTGTTTTTGTGTGTTTTTAAACGTGTGATTGGTCGTTAGTCGAGTAGACAGCAACGTTGTGGGTACAGGTGACTAACATGGTAGCTGAAGCAGAGTCAGCCTGTTCTCTTTTCCAAGAGACATTTAGAGAAAACTTAGTGGGGGGGGGGAGGAGGGAAAACTAATGCAGAGAAAAACACCTATGCTCCACTGCAAGGGTCAAATCTCTGAGTTTTGTTACTCTTTGAAGTAAAAAAAAAATTAACTATATCATATATTTAAGAGAAATTGTTTGTTCTCAAAAGTGACACGTAACTACGTGTCGCCCTCACATAAACTCACGCACAAAGTGTGAATCTGGGTCTAACAGGACAAATTGCTAGGTGGGGGCAGTGTTTCTGTCAGACTTTATTCTTGAGGGGGGGTGGCGGGACTTAAAATTTTCGGGGGAGCGGGGGGGGGGGGGGGCGGACACTGCTAAATGTATATATTTTCTATATAAATTATGTTTCGTTGTAGGGAGTGGGGCTAGGACGTTCTTCGGGGCAGTGGGGTGGGTGGGGTGGGGGGGGGGGTGGAGGGGCAGAGACCCCCACCCACGAAGATGCCTGAAAGAAATTCTACGTGGGGTGGGGGCAATAGGTAGTAGGGCAAGAGAACGGCTTTAAAAAATTATGTGACGTCATTTATGGACCGACTGACCGTTATCTTAACGTTTTATATTCTATCAGGTGAAGATCTGACTCAATCGAATAATTTTTTTTAAAGTCGTCTGCGGCTAAGACTGGAGTTACCGACCCCTGCTTCAAACACAGTCCTACAACTTCTGCAATCCCCCAACACCTCCAGCTTTTGAGCTGCCTTTGTCTTACCGCAGTGTTAAGAAAAATGGTAGATAAACTCACACCAAACTTACCCCACCCCCCACCCCCCGTAAAAACAAAGTCTGTCCTTAATGTACATTTCTTATCAAAATTCTTTCTATTGTCTGGGCTCTGGAATAATGGGTACATTAATTTTTATTCGCTACAGTTCACGACTTGTTTTATTTGTTTCGTTTTCTAAAGAAGTCCCACAGCCAATATTTTTAAAAAGTTATATTTTTTCTAAGTCCCAAGTACGACTATTGTGTAGATCTAGAAAAAAAAAAGTAGTTGAAACAAAAGCCGCGCCTAGGGTTTTCTAAAAAAATAAAATTAAAAAATAGTCCTACTCTACAAAAATAGTTGTGCATCATTGATACCGAGGTTAGCGAGTATAATACTATAAAACAGTTATTGATTTTGTATTACCACTAAGGGTGAACCGGTGCGAAGTACTCGGTGACCTCCCCTTACAGTGGGAAGACAACTCCTGTCCAGCCCCGCCTTGTGGGAAGAGTTATTTCCCCTCCGCCCTTCGAGTGACCATCTGGGAAGACATAAACAGACGCTGGTCAGTGGACGGACCAAGGGGTTTGTTGACCCAGGGATTAACAGGACGAAGATGGGGCGTAAAAAAAAAACGCTTCTAATAAGGGGAGTTGGGCGTGCAAAGGTCGTCAGTGTGAGGAGCGAGTTGGTTCGGTGCGTCATTGATTTCTGCTTTCAACAGTACAGCCCGCCCTGGTCCCCCCACGGGATACTAAAACAATGGCGCCAATGTCGAAGTTTTAAGCGCGATTTACATTTAGATAAATTTATTAAGTATTCACCATGGCGGATTTGAGGGAGGTGGGGGGAGGGGAGGGGGGATAGTGAACTCCAACCTACCCAGAAAGCAGTCTAAAAACATTCAGAATGAAATACGGCCAAAAGGCTAGTTTTCAAAATATGAAAAGTAAATGAACTTTTATACTTGGAAAAATTAAGAAGTAGTCTGATGTAGTACTACCCCGAATTGCTTATTTTTATTTAAGACGCAGATTTAAAAAAAAAAAAAAAAACTTAAATAGTAGTATGTTTTTTTTTTTTCAATCACAGGATCGTCAAAATTTGTTTTTCAATAATTTAAAAAAAATAGTATTTCACTTTTCCCTCGATTCTAGGTTCTGGACCCCTAATCCTATGATCTGTGTAGCATGATTACCATGTCAAACTCCCATACAAAACCCATACTTCTAAGATCTTTAATTTGATTATCATCTCAGTCAATTCCATAATTGACCCCAAAGTTTAGGATCTGTAGCATGATCACCATGTCAAACTGACCTCTATCGCACCGATGTAATCTCCGGTACCCTGTTAATTCAACGCAGGAAACCCTCGTCCGTGACACCCGAGCATACAACAGGGCTCTGACGTTTACCCGACCTCGGTTCCGGGGGTCGGAAATAGTGGACTTGTTCTGTCACGCTTGGTTTATTGTTTCAGCGCTGGCAGTTGTTGCGGGGGCATGTAAACACATGGGGTTGGGGGTGAGGGGGTGTAGATTCGGTACTTTGTGCTGGGCAGGAATGTGCAGCACTTGGCCAACGCGTTGACTTAGACCCAGGGGCGTAGCCGTAGCTCCCTACGTCCGAG